AATTGTGTAACTGTCCTACTCGCTTCTTCACTCCCTCATCTTTAGAGGACTGTAATGCTATATCCTTACTCTCCAACCCAGCTATTGGGGACAGGGTCCTATTTATAAGAGGGTGGAGGGGCAGTCCTTTGTTGTTCTTTGACTGCCAAAACTTTGACAAAGCATTTTGCAATCCTTACAAAATATTCTGAAGAAGGTGAAATATGGAAGGTGGGATTGTTCTATAATGCTGGAAATGCACGATAAAGAAACTTTTATACAGGAGTTTTTCCAGGTTCTATAAATGTGTGTGTGTGCCTTTGACTCCTGGAGACTGCCTGGACTGGTCTCTGCACTTCTAAAAAATAGTTATGTGAAAATGTGAAGTTGGCACTATCAGTGGTATTTGTCCAATGAGCCATGTATTTGTTTTGTTTTGTTTTGTTTTATTCAATTTCTATAGCCACTCATCTCAGACAAATGATTCTGAGCGGTGAACAAGTGATTCTGAGTCAATCATCTCATTTGACTTGTGGATGTCTTTCTTGGCCTTATTATCTCAGGTCCTATAACTGCAGATGCTTGGGAGTTAATCAGAGACTTTACACATGTAAACCAGAATCCTAACCATTACATTTGTGAATGCTTACAAATGTATCACAGAAGTGTCTTCCATGAGCCAGTGTGACATAGTTGTTAAGTTGTTGGATTAGGATGGGGAGACCCAGGTTCAACCACTTTTCTTCAAATCAATCTATTTCATCAGATTGTTGTTCTGCAGATAAAGTTGTAGGAGGAAGTACAGTGTATATCTCTTTGAGCTCTGATATAAGCAAGCTATACATCTAGTAAATAATATTGTGCTGTTAGTACCTGGCTGACCTTCGCTGATCTCAGAAGCTAAGTAGAATCAACTCTGGTAAGAAAATATATGGGGTGGGATCTTAGCTCAGTAACAGAACTCTTGCTCTGAATGTCTCACTTCTAGTTCAAAGGATCTGATAATGGGAAATATGGAAAACCTCTCAGAGAATGGGCCCTAATTACAGGGACACTATTGGTCCAGATGGACAATCTGACACAATACAAAACATGTGGCCTTTTCATTTTTTTTTTAATTTATTGGATTTCTCCCCCGTCCATCTCCCCCACAATAGGGGACTCTGGGTGGCTTACAAAGACATTAAAACTATAAATATATATAAAATACATAATATATATAGAATTAAAACAATACTGCAAAAGGAGTATTGGCCACCTGTGTCCTCCAGTAATCTTATGAAGCCCTGGATCCTCTGACTCAGTTGCCTCTGAACTTTTCTGGCACATCCTTTTAAAAGCTTAATGCTTTGAAAGCATTTTGTTTCACTACTATTCAAGTTTAATACTGGTAAAACTAAGAAACACATTAAAATAAAACATGTCATGATCCAACTCCCCCTCACCTTTCATTCTTAACCGCCTATTTTTTTCAGCATACCCATTTATTTGAGAGCAGCCCTCATCCCTTAAACACCAAAGATGGACTTGGGCTTCCATAAGTTGTCCATCTTTATGATATAAGGAAGATTTTTTTAAAATGAGCTAAACCATATAGATCTATTTTGAATTAGGAAATCTGGGCAGGTTTGGAACAAGACTATAAGTCTATCAATAAATGCACTTAGGTGCCTTTTTGATTACAATATGTCCTGTGACCTCCATACATGTTTGTTGTTCTTCTGTTGCTCACATTAAGACTTAGATTTGCATTTGAATTTATTGTAGTATATGATCATGAATGATATACTGTATATGCAAATGGTAGTCTCTTCATATTGAAAGGGGGAAATTTTGTGTTTTCTTTTTATATTAAATTTGAAGGTGGAAAGAGAAATAAAATGTTATTTTATTTTGTTTTGAGGGTTTTTTTTTGTTTTTAACTCCATCTCCACTCTGATGGTTTGCAATGTTGCTGACACAGTGTTCTCTTCCTGTATTTGTTTCAAGTCATGCCGTTGAGCAGAGTGATAAGAGAAACACTCCATGCACGAGCGGCAACAAGCCATTTCCTGTTTGAATGAAATATGACAAATTTCAGCCTCTTTGTAAGAGAGGTATAGTGTGGCTACTACTTGCAAACTTAGCAAAATTCTTTGTGGTCAGATTATCCTTTGGTAGTAGAGGTTAGCGCTGCTAGCTAAAGCAGTAATGAAAGGTCTTGATTCTCATCTGTATCAACATTTAAAAACTTCTCCTTTACAAGCATAACCTAAATTGTGAAATTGTCTATTTCAGCACAGAGGTTGCTGCAACCTCTCTTGTAAGCCCCATTTGCAAGGGAGTTTGGGTCTTTTAATACCTGAGCTTATTTTGGAGACTTGGGAAGCATTGTTTTGTTTTAAAGAAATAAGAATGGTAGTTCTACCTGGATTCAAACCTTTCTCCTAGATCTCCACCAATCAGACTGCAGAGTAGGACATCAGCCATATTTTTATACCAGTTCACCAGCATATGAATACAAACACATGCAGATAATATGACAATGTGCTGGTTCTTTGCCAGTTAATACAATCAATCATTTAATACCTTACACAGTATTTTCCCACCACAACATGCTGCTAAAAGTATCTAATAATAATAAAATTAACATACAAATCAAATTGGAAACACAGTTAAGTATATGAATAAAAACATTAAAAGTAATATGGATCACTCCATCTGTGTCTTGTTCTCAGACCTGAACTCAACTGTGCTGTGTTGAGACAGTTCTTTATCCCCTCACTTAGAAGACATGGAAGCAGTTGTTCATAGTCCGTGATGAAAAGTACAGCTATGGTCATATCGAGCAAGATGAATAACCAGCAGTGTTTTAACATTAATATTGTATGGGGAAGACACAATGTAACTGACTTCCTTTTGTTATTTGTTCAGCAAGTAAAATGTACTAATAAAAGGATGACCAATAGTTTGGTGCCTATATTACTGTCAGTGGCAAAATCATTGTGTCAGCAACTCAAAAAGGATATAACACCTCACCAGAATTGAATCTGTCCATAAGGTCTGGTCTGGTTTGGTCATCAAAAGAAAGTCTACTGAAAATCTCTCCTTGTGAGGTTCTCAGGGCATGGGGAGATCGCAACCTTTTCCTTAACAGTCCACACCTTATGGAATATTCTGTCCCCAGAAGTATGTCCAGCCCCCATCTTGCTGCAGTGCTGTAAACAGGTTGAAGCAGTTTTGTTTCAACATGCTTTCGGTCCAGCTGGCTAACTGTGGCTGTCTGTGTTGGATTTGCTTTAGGGTTTTATCTTTGCTTTTCTGTGGTTATTTTTTGTCTCTGATATGGTTCTGATTTAGCTATTTATTGTGCTGTGTTATGTTTGTTTATTTTCTTTTTATTTGATGTTGTATGCTGTCCAAAGAACTCTGGGATTGGGGTAGGTTAAAAGTACTGTAAGACAATAAACTGTACAGTCCAATACATTTTAAATTCCACCCTGATTGAAGCATAATGAAAACACATGAAGTTTTTCAAATATAAGGCACACCTTTTAATAAAAAATATTAAGTACCTCAGCTATGTCTTTTATGAAGATGGTATCACAACTGATAATCCACAAAATGCTCTAGCTATGGATAAAATAGAATTCGGAAGGTCTTCCTTGACATACCACATTCCAAATGAAGAAAGCTTGGCTATCCACTTGAGAACACTGATTAAAAGGCTCTCTGGCTAGAGGTATTTCAGCAGCAGGACATTCTGGACTAATTTACCTAGCCATAGCAGCTATAGCTTGAACTCAAGAAACAGCACCCAAATACTAGTCCATCCATTTATGTCTCCTGAATCAATTATTTCCTAACCAGCTAGAAATATCCTAGCAGATCTGCAGAGTACACTCTTTCATCTCCAGATGTATGATATCCAGGACATGGACATGGCAGAGATTCTTTCAAAGTTAATACCATTGTGTTTTGGACTTAACTCTATTCCATAAAGAGAAATTGATTTCTAGTTTGGCAAATGTACAGCCACTGAACAATGCATTACTATGGTTGTTCAAAAAAAAAAAAAGGCAGAACTCTTCATCTTCAGAGATGTCTATACATTAGGGAATAAGTTAATCAAGATGACAGGATTTGTGAACTACTCCAAGAACAATCAGAATCAAAGATGATTTACTGGACCCAAAAGGAAACCTTTATAGGGTGCATAGTCTGCTTCATTGATGATTCTGCAGTTTTGCATATCCATGTGAGTCTATCAAGCTACTTGTCCTGATATGATTGCTCACACTGAGCCCTGATCAGGAGTTTCAGTCTAGCAATGTCACTAAGCCCATGATTGCACTTGAGGTCCCAGATCTGCCTTGTTTAAGCTGGTATGGCCATTCTAACCAAAACGTAGATTATTTCTCAGAATTGCATAAGCCTCTATCCTGATGTGCACATTTTCTGATCACATACATACCTGTACTCCCAGGTATATATATGTGTGTCAAGATAGATGTGGGATGAAGATACTGTAGCTTTTCCAGTGGTGTGTTATACCATACAGCAGCTTTATTTCATTTATCTGTGGAGCACCTCCTTCTAAATTGGAAAGGATGACTCAAACAATGTTTAAGTTTAAAGTTGCAGACTTTTATCTTCACTACATAAATACTTGTACATGCATTCCATAACAGTAAAAACAGTCTGGTTAGTTTAGTAGCCCTAACAGATGGGCTGGTATACTATTTTCGATAACTTTAATTTAGAGTTGTAGAAAAATGGACACTGGAGAAGTTAACATTTGCCAAATAAAAACAGGAGGTTATGGAAATACCAAGGCTGTCCTTTGAGAAAGTATTAGTGCAAATAACATAAGTGTTACCTTATTCCAGAGCAAGGGAAACACAACTTCACTTTCTGATTGGTCACAGATAATTGGAAAAATACTCTGCAAGTTATATTGTGTTAAATAACGTTTTTCCACATTTCTGTTTCCTCTTCTTTCCATTTTATAAAATATGCACCAACAAATTATTCTGCCTCAGAAGACAGAGGAGAACATGCTGTTGCCCAATAAATCATCAAGAACAGGTGGAGAAGAGACTTCTGCAGCGTGTGGTAGTGAGAAGGTGAAAGCTCAGCCAATGATCTCTGTGATGAGGAAAGAACATGACAAGTATATAGAAATGCTCATATTTTAAACTCTGCAATATTGGAGAGGAGGAGTATTACGCTATGCATACTTTACTATTATAGGAAACCTTAGCCATCAAACTTGATATATTCTGATCCTGTGAGAGTTTAAGGCCAAAATATACATTTCTTTCAATGGGGGGGGGGAATGTGTGACCCTCTGTTGTAGAAAGCAATTCCCATTATCTCTCACCATTGACTACATTGCACATGAGTGAGGGGGATTAAAGTTCAACAACATCTGGAGGGCTACCTGTTGCCTATGTCTGTTGTAATAATTAACAACTGCATCTTCGTTTCTTTTTTCTCTAAATAAGCACAAATGAGATTCCATCTAAACAGAAAATCTTGTATGGGCATTTTAATTCTGCGTTGTGCAATTCAATTTTTTTTTTCTCCAGGCACCTGCCATTTATAACACCAGGAAAGAATCCATTGTTGTTCTAATATTAAACAAATAAAAAATAAATAATTTGTAACCCTGAGTGATCATTTTAAGGTAACACAGCTTGACCGTAAATGTTAGTTGCAATCACATACTCTCTACATCTTGTGTCTCAGGATTATACTAAGCATTTTAATACTTAGCATGCAATTACAATCTCTTTTTTTTTTACTCAAAACTAAGTACATAAGGCTTCAATCTGATTGCTCAAACTTTCCCATTGCTTGCCATTTGCATAACAATGTGTTCTGTTTACCTCAATGGGAGTTCTTCCTATCTATATCTATATATCTACACTTACATCTATATCATCTCTGATGTGGAGGCATCCAGCTGGATGGGGAAAAGAAACAGTTACAGCATCGTGCCCAACTTCCATACTTTTGAGAAAAATGAATGAATAAGTATGCTGTAGTTTGGTTCTTAGCAGAGGGATTCAAATCTTAATACATTTTATCAAATGTACATGTGTGTCGACTTCATGTGAGCACAGTATTGCATGTTCTGTATATGTGTCTTATTAGCAGCCACATATGCAGGTGATTTCCTGTGTAGGGGAAAAAGAACACCATTCAATATTATGAATAAAATGCTTCTCAACTTTCTCAGACACAAACTACGGTCTTCTTCCATCTCTTGTAAAAACCAACACACAAAGCCGCCATCTCTATATCGGGTTCGGATCCTGCTGTGAGCCATATGGTAGGGCATTGCAAGGTTAGTTCTGATATAAAGCAATGCTTTTTAAATGATGGAAGCATAAATCTTTGCCACCTATAAACAGTACATGCAGATCAGTGTCCATGATGCCCTACCTATTTCTGGCTCAGTTTCTGGCAGTTGAAATTCAGGATTTCTGGTCTAAGAGACAGTTCAATCTTGAGATTGTCTTTTTCTTTGGCACTGAGAGAAAAACTACATATTTCCTTAGTACATGCATCCTCCTAAGCCTGCATTTACTAATGGGGTGTAAATGGGAATATGAGACTTGTGTTATTCGGGAAAAATGAGTATGGGTCTTTAATTAACTCCACAAATATACCCAATAATGCCTTCTAAAAGCTGTAAGGAGAGAGTCATACCGTGGTGAGGTGGCTGAGCCCCTTCTCTGTTCTCTGTAATTTGAGAATTGGTAGCATGGATGTTCAGGGAGGTCAAAAAAGTCAAGATAGGAACTGTGCCTGTATGATCAAAGCCCTGTCCCCTTTTTATGTCTGTTGCATGTAAAAAGGAGGCAGGGCTTCAAGCCAACCATTGCAACTCCATTTTGACTTCTTTGACCTCACATGGATACTCCTCATTGGTAGGTGGTAAATAGATCACTTCATTCTTATGGCACTTGTTTATTCCCTACCAAACCCTCTTTCCCACTTCACAGCATTCCTCGCACAATTCCATAGGCTTTCCTGCAAATTTAGAAGTTATCTTTGAGGGGCAGAGAGTGGGAAGAAACAAAAAATAGCTCAGGAATATAGACTGTAGCTAAACTACATTTCTTTCCCCTAACCCTTCTCCAGCATCTATTACAGGGATATGAGTTAAAAGCAGGACATTAGGAAATTCTGTATGAAATGTTTTTTTTTTCCTGAAAAGCAGGAATCTGATTTGCACTGAGATATTACGCAGACATCATATTTTAATATTTTAATACTTGCTATGTAACAT